CATTCTTTTTTAGGGACTAAGATCATTTGTAAGGCAACTTAGATAGCGTCATCGAGGGACTATGATCTTGTATTTGCTTGTTTTTGCTAAGATACCTTACATGTGTAATATGGTCATTTTGTATAAGGCAACCAAGTGGGATAACCCTAGGGGTGCTTGTGTGCAAGTGTATTATTTTCATGCTTGATTTTTGTCTTGAATTAGGATTTTCTATTTGATTGATTTTGTTCTTTTCATACAAACCCTAATTACTAGCATGTGAATATAAAGCATTTAAATTGCGGAAAACAAAAATACTAAGCTATTACATGATTTGTGGGAAGGGGGTGTATAAATTGAATGGGGATTGCAAGAATTTAAAGCCTAATTAGTCTATTACAACCATATTGAATTTATACAATAATTGAAATAAATAAATGTACAAAAATAAATATGCAAGAATGTAAATGCAAAGAAAATGGATCTTTTTGTTTGGATTTTTTATGAGAAAAAGGAATTTGTTTTAACCTAATTAATTAAAAGAAAACATTTAATTAAAATAATAAAAGTAAACCTAATTTACTAAGAAAGGATTTTAAATTTAAAAAAACCTAAATCTATTAATTGAATAAAAAGAAATTAAGTTTATAAGAAAAGCATTTTTGTTATTTTTGTCTTGAAAATATATATGACATCATGAAATATTTTTAGTCTTTTTTATATCAAAAATAATATATTTTAATAGGTGTAAAAGAAAAATAAATATTGACCTAGTTTTAATTAAATTTACAAGGTGATTTGTAAAAAAAATAAATAAAGTATAGTTAATAAAAATATTTTTTGTGAGAAAAAATAAAATAAACTAAATTAAAATGAAGATCTAAATTTTTTTATATTTTTTATGATTTTTAATATTAGTGAAAAATAATTAAGAAAAAAATAAATAAAATAAAAATAAGAAAATAAAATAAATTGGACCAGGGGTGCATAAGCAGGCAGGGAGGTCAGCTAGCAAAAATAAAATAAAAAACAATACCAGGCCCAAAGGGCCCAGCGCCTGCAAAAACATGTTAGAAAGTCAAAAATATGAAAAATGGGCAAAAGGGTACCATTGGGGCTCGAATCCAGGTCCCATAGGCTAACAGGTGCGCGCTTTACCACTAGGGTGGCTATACATCTGTTTATATAAACAAAATAATAAATATGTAAGGCAAATCAAGTCTTGATGACTTCATCTTCAACCTCCAGCCGGTGTACCTGTAACTTCTTCATTTCTCAACAAAAATGGAAGATGACAAAATGAAAGTTGTTGCATTCTTCCTCACGAATCTAACCATGTAAATAACTAAAGCTAAAATTCAAAGATAAATGAGAATTTCTCTGGCCCTAATTTGAACCCTAAAAATTTCAGAAACTTCAACTCTAAAATTCTTTAAGCTCAGGCCATGTAAATGTAAACTATGGATATGTACAGCTTCGTGGAAATGAGGTCTACATTTTATCTTCACAAATGCAAGCCTAATAATGCCTAAGTAATGAGATAGAAGTTCAAGAAAAATACCTCAAAATTGGAAATCGTGAAATGCAAATGAGCTTGATTCAAAGTGCTGCAAGGATCAGGTTAGCTTCCTTGAGGTCCCAGGAAGCTAATGCAATGATTAGCTTGAGCTGAAAGTGGCTGAGGAGCTCTGGAGAAGTCAAGTTGCAGACCCCTATTTTTGAAAATGGAACTTGATGATGGAGGTGCTACAGTTGAGCAAATGGACTTTGGATGGTTTGTATTTGATGTTTAGAAGCTTTTGGAAGTGAAAGGCCAAAGAACGCACGAGGGGATTTGGAGTTTGGTATGTAAAGTCAGAATTTGCACAACAATGGTGTTTTGAGACAATTTCTGGCTAGATGGAATTTGATTGAGTTTAAGGGTCTTCAAGCTCGTGTCCTAGCTCACAAATAGTGCTTCTATTTATAAGCAACAAGTTTGGAGACTTGTTGTTGATCAGAATTTGAATTTGCATCCTTAAGCTAAACATGTGATTTTTTGACAAAACAAGTTTCAAAGTCTTGTGTACTTGCTAAGATATAGTGGTTATGCTTTAAAAAAGCTTGCTTCTTACTTTGTGGATGGAGTGTGATCAGAGGGAACAAGTTAGAGGCTCAATGTGAACTTTATGCAAAAAGCTTGCTTTACAAGAATGGCATTGTTAACTTTCTTCCCAAAATGGCAATGTGAATTGGATAAAGCTTAAATCACTTGGATTATAGCTCAAACGTTTGTGTAATCCATTAATTATGGAGTGACAAACAAGTTTGAGGCCTGCAAAGCAAAGATTATGCAGCCTAACATTGAAATTGCATTTGTGTTCATCATGAAAATGACCTATAATTCAAGTGACAAAACACCAACTTCATCTCTTCGATTCTCCCTACTCAAGAATGATATCAAGGAGTTCTTGGACATTTTGGAAATATTTCAATATGCTCTACAACCCATTTTTTAATTGCTTTTGAAGATTCTCCTTAGAACTATGTGAAAAATTTCCATGAAGTTAGGTCAAAAATCTGCCTAGCTAGGGCAAAATTTCACTAAGTCTTTTTTAGTTCATGAGCATGTATTAATAAAATTATAACTTGAGATCCAAGAACTTTTAGGAGAAGTTGTGTGAAGAAAAGTTGTAGATTTCATGTAGATATACAACTTTCATGTTGGAAGTTTCCTTTGAATCATCTTGCATCATAATGAAAAAATTGCTCAAAGTTATGAAAAAATAAGAAATTTTTGACACACAGAAAAAATTTTGAGTTTAGAAATTTTGACTTTTCAAAATGAAATCTTGATTTCTTAATTTCTTGATGAATAAGTTTCCTATTTTGACATGTTTTGATGAATTTTGATCTTTGGTGCTTAAATTTGACTAAAAAGTCAAAGTTTGACTTTTCAGTATACAGTTGACTTTTGATCAATTGATTGCAAAATTCATCTATCAATCCAATGGATTTGCAATGTCTTGAATCATGTCATTAGGTCAAAATGATACAATTTTACTCTTGATATCATACCTTAAACCAATTGACCATTTGCTAGGTCAAAAATCAGAAATTGCCCTTTCCCAGTCAAAACCCTAATTTTGACCATTTTGCCCTTTTGGAGATTTGATCAAATTTCTTGAGGAATTATGGTCCAAACTTGATCAAATGATACATATGGGTTTAAAATGTTTATGTGGATAAAAAATTATGAAGTTTGACTGTAAATTGGTCATAGTTTACTTTTCCCCAATACAACTGATTTTTAGGTTAACTGTTCAATTGATTGAGCAAAAGAGTGATCCAAGGCTTGAAACTTGGCATGAGTAGTATTGGGGGTCCATAATGATCGATTAAAGTCATATGAGGCATTTGTAGTTCAAAAATCCTTGTGCAAACTCAAACCCTAATTTTGGTCATCAGTGCCTAAGGAGGTGTCTTGAGCTGATCAAACCCTAGTGCAGTCTTGAGCCCAAGGAGATCTTGTGAGCAAATTATTGATAAGTGAGAGGGCAAATTTTGGGGTACAACACCACCCATAATATAATAATATGAGGATCAATATTTCAGCTGCAACTTTAGCCAAATCCACATTTTTATGAACCCTGCAAGAAGACAAAAGTGAACCCCACGCTATAACATTTGGTTCAATAGGCATACTTTTTATTAAATTGTATGCATCTTCTATCAATCCAGCATGTCCAAACAGGTACATCCGTAATGGCTAGGGGTAGGTTCAATGTGATGAACATTTTTCATCAAATTAAAGTAACGCTTACCTTGCTCTACCAATCCCACATGCATACAGGCAGACAATACACCAACATGAGTAATATAATTTGGCTTTAAGTTAGATTTTAGCATCTCTTCGAACAACTATATGGCCTTGTTTCCCAACCATGTTGAGCTAGAGTTATAATCATGGAAGTACAAGTCAATGTATCCCTTTCAGTTCATATTTGATTGAATAATTTCCTTGCATCTTTGATACATCCAGATCTCGAGTACATGGTAATTAAAGCATTACCCACAAAAAGCAATGACATTGCTTTCAATCTTATTGCAGTTGCATGAAGCTGCATACCATGATCCAAAGAAACCAAGCTTGAAAAGACACTCAATACAGCTGCTAAGGTATAGCCATTTGGCCTTTTGCCTTCTGCAATCATTAATATGAATAGCTCCAAAGCATCATTAAGTAAGCCATTTTATGCATAACCTATAATCATGGCAGTCCATACAACTACATCGCAACGTTTCAATGAATCAAATATCTCTCTCGTCGGGTTTACATCCCCAATTTTAACATAGCCATTTAAAAGGGATGTGAATGGTATAACATTAAGACTCGAAGTGCCTCTTAATTCTACAATTGTTCGAGCAATTTCCACTGCACCAGATTTGGCATACATTGAGATAAGGGTATTCCCCAATGCCCCAGAGATATCAATATCAGCTCTTACAATAAATGCATGGATTTGCTTCCCAAGTTTCAAGCTTTCAAGATTAGCACAGGTCGACAAACCATATTCTTTGTCTTCTTTGAGTCTTTTGTCTAATAACATAGGTGGTATTAATGGTCCTATTGTCTTTAATGGAAAAATCGTCACTAACCAATCCATCACCTCTTTTTCGAGTTCACAGATTGAGTTTACAAGAGTCCAATCAGCTTTACCAATATTGTCAAATTGATTGACCACTATGTCAAAATATCCAGGATAAGATTCATACTTATACAAAAACGTAGGCAAATCACCTTGAGCAAGTTTAGGAAAATCAGACCACAAATACTCAGATTTTGAAAGTGCTAACTCAATAAACTTCTCATGAGTCTGAAAATATATATTGTTAACAGAACAAGATTGAGTGGAAAAAATCATACCGAGTAACTCAAAGCTCTTACCAACATCAAGCGTCCAAGGCAAAAAAACTTAAAACTTAACACAACTTGGTGGGGTTTTTGAGGTGGACAGTTTTTTGAGAAGCTCAGAAAGTGATTATGATCCAACTCTCCAAAATGTTTCTTTGTAAATCTCTAAGCTTTCTGCTGCTAATAAATCTCCTTCATCAAATCCATCTGAGGTGCTTTCAACTTCGATTGAAGTAAGGTTTTTGTAGCTAATAGTTTTCCAAAGAGAAGTAATGGTTATGAGTGTTAACTTAACAACAACAGCTCCTCTTTTATCAGCCTCTCTCAAGAACATGTGTCTGTCGTTTTTACTTACAACACAACACACAAACAAATTACCAGAAGTTACAAGCCTAGAATCATATTGAATTCCACTAATTTCAACTTCTAAATTCCCATCAACCAAAACAGGAACCATTTTACTCTCATCTAAAATCACAGCCAAAGTCATATGAAACTTAGGTTCAAGTATTCTAGCTTTCTTACTCTTCACTAAACTATCAAAAGCTAAATCAAAAAAAGAATCAGAATTAGAACCTAAATCACCATCTTTGATGAAATCTCCCGGAGTTTCATCAGAATTCAGTGTAAGTCCCTTGAGGCACTCGCTTTCTTCGGCATTGTCGACTTGATATGGTTGAAGCTCTTCGTGAATGACTTCGGAAATACCTCTTTGGCGGGATTAGGTTTGAGAAGATCTTGGTTAACGAACTCTTTGTGTATGAGAGTGATTGCTTTGTCGATTTCACTGAACAAATAGTCTTGAGAGGATTCAATAGAGGAAGCTTCGTCGAAAACGTCATCAGGATCGGTGATTACGGTGAGGTAAGTGGCTTGGTTGTTTTTAAAATCCTCTTCATCATCTAGTACAAGGAGAGAGTTCTCACTATTTGTAGTCTCAGAATCAAACCTGTTGTCGAGGAGATTGGTGATGTTGACATCTTCGGGACCGTTGTATAGGTGAACATCGGTGCCGATCCAGAATACCGTTGTTGATGCTTTTCTTAGAGATTCCGCCGTTGCTCCGAATTAGGGAAATATTTTAGCTTTTCGATTGAAATGAGAAGTAAATGTTTGATATCTAATGTCTTTTTGAGATACCGTAAAAGAAGGTGAATGGATTTGTTTTTGTTGTGAATCATAACGTTTGAGAGATGTTTGGGATTTTTTTTTTGCTTTCTTGAAACAAGGATGATAAAGGGTTTGAAGTGGGTCATTGGATCTAACAGGTTTATGATAGTTTTTTTATATCTTTTCTTAAAAGAGAGATGAGACACTTGCAAATGCTTCTCAAAATCTCTTCCAATTGTGGAGGAGGTTTTTATTGGTTATAGTGGTTGATGATAATTAGTGTAGTAGTATGAATAATGAGATGATGAATATGATGAATATGGGTTAGGTGGGGGTGGTGTATACCCATGATTAAAATACAAATATGGGGTTGTAACATATGAATTTGTGAAATAAGATGATTGGTGAGGTGAAATAGAATTATGTGTGGTTATGGTTGATATGGAATGTATGGATTGTATGGGATGTAGTAATGATAATATGGATATGCCATTGAAAGAAAGATGGAAGTTCAAGATGAAAGCACTAATTGTTAAGAAGCTAGATCTAGAACCCTAACAAGACTAATAGAAACTATAAATTCTAAAGATGAACAAAGTAAAATAAGAATAAAGATAACTTTTGATTTTATTTGATATCCTCAAACGTGTCATAGACACTACATATATATATAGAACTCTTAATGGATAATTAACTATAAATCCCAAAAGTTATTGAAGATTCAATTTAACAATATTTAAAGATCTTAAGAACATTCTAGAAAATATTACAAAATAAAATACTAATATAATTATACTCCAAATTTAGTATCTAAATAATTTATTTATCACATCATCTTCCGTAAATCACCACCAATCTGCCTCTGTCTATCTTCGTCAAGCCTCCAACCTCGACTCAGCTCACCTCCCGTAATCTCCAACTGGTCACCTTCATTACACCACCCAATACTACATTCGCCTGCTATCGTTCACGCAACTAAAACCCATCATTCACATATTCCATAGCAACAACACCTTCTACCCACAACAATCTCCTTCATCTCTTCATACTACCTTGTTACCACTTCAGCTACCTCACACAGACAACCCTTTTATCTCTCTTACGTCTCTAACACCATCGGTAACCAAACACATTCGTCGTTCATACTTCTAGCTCCTCACATCACAGCTCCCTCACCAATTTCATCCTATTCAACACCATCATTGTCCATTTATGATTAGACCTCCCTGCTATTACTCCAACTGTTACTGCCTACTCCCACCGAATTCGCTCAATTTCCACACATAACTCCCTCCGCAGAAACTGATTCGAGCAACATAACCAAGACCCATAACTCTGGTTTGTATCTATCACAACAATTTGCCTCCAATCTCAGCCGAACATCCCTCTATTCAATCTCATAACCCCACCAAGAGCTTAAATTTTGTTCAGTTGTAACTCACAACTAGGGGTGGGAATAGGTTGGGCCGAGTTAGGCTTTGTCAAGCCTTAGCTTGTGTAGGTGTTTAGGTATTGGCTTGCATTTTTGGTAAATTCCAAGTGTATGTGTGAATGTCATGACTGATGTCATAACATTCTAGTTCAGGTTGTACTAACTCTTTAGGTACATATGCAGAAAAATATTGTAACTCAAATACTGATGTTTATAAGTGTGTATCTGAGCATGTTTGCAAAATGATCACACTTTGCTAATCAGTAGACAGGTTTTCTCAGATGTCATAACAGATGTTATGACATCCTGTTCTGAACTAGCAGGATTACAGGATTGGATAAGTCTGAGTTTTTTCAGGAAATAACTCAGTCCTTCCTAAACAGAATCCTGCGTTTTCTGAGGAGTAACCTAGCTCAATCCTAACCTGATCAATGAAGTACTGTGACCTGGTCTTAAGGTCAAACGGAATCAACCCTAGGTTTTTGGAAACCCTAACTGAAGTTGCAGCTGCTATATATTCAACAGAGCTGCGGTTTTTGAAGTCATCCCTGCTGATTGATTAGAAGATCAAGTTCGTAATCTGTATAGATTTGTGTATTGTACTCCAAGAAATTATCATTGTGATAAGTGTCTTGGAATAGGTTTCAATTGTAAGGGTTGTGTAGCACTCAAAGCTTTGAAGCAAGAGTGTTTGAATGTTACTTGACTAAAGCTGTGAAGCAGAGTCAAGTTAGTTGTGTACATCACTCAAAGCTGTGAAGCACGAGTGATTGTGTTACTTGATTAAAAAGCTGTGAAGCTTAATCAAGAGTGTGTTTTGAAGAGTGTCTTCATCAATTCTCAAGTCAAATTGGTTTATGTATCACTGCTGTGATTGAGGGGGAGTGAGTAGGAACTCAGGTTTAAGTTGTACTTAGATTAGAATTGCATTGGGTAGGTCTTAAGTGAAGGAGATAAACTGGTTGGTTTATTCCTGAATTAACATCTCTTATAGTGGATTCTCTCCCTGGCTTGGTAGCCCCCAGAGTAGGTGTTGTTGCACACTGAACTGGGTAAACAATTGACTGTGTTATTTACTGCTTTTGTATTTACTGTCATATAGTAAGTCAGATACGGTGTCATAACATTGGACGTGACATTGAGTATCTGTAGCCAGAATTTTCAATTGGCATCAGAGCAGGCACCCTGCCTGTATTACTGGGTGAGATCTAGGGATATCACTTTCTGGCACTATGGACAAAGAAGGAGTTTTTGGAAACAGACCACCCATTCTGGATGGAACTAATTATGACTACTGGAAACCTCGTATGATTGCCTTCCTAAAATCTCTGGACAAAAAGGCTTGGAGAGCTGCTGACAAAGGATGGATTCATCCCACCATAACTGAAAGAGATGGGACAATCAGTCTGAAGCCTGAGGAAGATTGGAGTAAAGAAGATGAGTTAGCTCTGGGAAATTCAAAAGCCTTAAATGCCTTGTTCAATGGAATTGATAGAAACATCTTCAGATTAGTACATCAATATGAACTGGCCAAGGAAGTTTGGGACACCCTCAAAACTACTCATGAGGGCACTTCCAAAGTAAAGATGTCAAGGCTTCAGATGTTGACCACTAAGTTTGAGAATCTAAAAATGATGGAAGATGAAACCATCCATGAATTTCACATGAACATCTTGGAGATTGCCAACACCTCAGGAGCACTGGGAGAAAAAATGTCAGAAGAAAAACTGGTGAGGAAGATTCTCAGATCCTTGCCTAAAAGATTTGCAATGAAGGTAACTGCCATAGAGGAAGCCCAGGACATTAGCAAGTTAAAAGTGGATGAACTTATTGGGTCTCTTCAGACTTTTGAGATGGGGATCACTGATAATGGTGACAAGAAGAACAAAAGCATAGCACTTGTAACCAACACTGATGTTGAACACAAGGAGGATGAAGAAGAAAACATATCAGAAGCCATTGCCATGCTTGGAAGACAGTTCAACAGGCTCATCAAAAGAATGGACCCAAAGTCAAGGTCAAATGTTCATAACATTCCTTCTGACATTGACAGTTCCAGCAGAAGACCAAGATCAGAAGATAAGGAAAACCAAGGCAGAGGAATTCAATGCCATGGATGTGAAGGATATGGACATATTCGAGTTGAATGTCCTACCTTTCTTAAGAAGCAAAAGAAAGGAATGACTGTTACTTGGTCTGACTATGATTCAGAAAGCAATTCTGAAGAAGAATCTGCCAAACTAGTTACTGCCCTAACTAGTGTTTGTACTTCTGAAAGTGACACCAGTGATGAAGAAGTAACATTTGAAGAACTGGCTGATACCTACAAGAAATTGTGTATCAGAAGTGGTGAAGTCTGTGTGCAAAATGAGAAACAATCAAAACTCATCGTAAAGCTGGAGGCTGAAAAGAGAGCAAATCTTGAAACTATAAGTCATTTAGAAGGAGAAGTTCAACTGCTGAACTCACAACTGAATCAAATGACCAAATCAGTCAAGATGTTGACAAATGGAACAGACAAATTGGAAGAGATTCTTCAGGCTGGACAAAATATGGGAAATAAATCTGGCCTAGGATTTGTGGAAACAAAGAAATTTGTTACCAGGAAGCAAATGTCAAACCAGATGTCTCAACATTACTCTCAACATCAGGGACAGAGACACATGAAGAAGAGGTACCAAAGATGGAGATGTCATCATTGTGGGAAATATGGTCACATAAAGCCCTTCTGCTACAGACTACATGGATATCCTAATCAGAAATCAGATGTCAAACCTAAGTCTAAAAAGGTACCACACGCTCCTCAATGGAAGAAAAAGGCTACTGCACTGATAGCACACACTTCCCTGAAGATCTCAGCAAAGGAAGATTGGTACTTTGACAGTGGATGTTCCAGACACATGACTGGATTCAAAAATCTCCTCAATAATGTTATGCCTCACACCACCAGTTTTGTGACCTTTGGAGATGGTGCTAAAGGAGAAATCAAAGGAGTTGGTAATTTGGACTACCCTGGAGTTCCAAGTCTGAATAAGGTACTGCTGGTAAAAGGGTTGACTACTAATCTCATCAGCATCAGTCAATTATGTGATCTAGGATTCATGGTCAACTTCTCAAGATCTGAATGTCTAGTGTTTAATGAAAAACTAGATATTGTAATGAGAGGAATAAAATCCAAAAATAACTGTTATGTGTGGCAGCCTGAGAACACTGATATCCCCACTTTGAGTCAAATCATCAAAGAAGAAAAAGATATGAAACAGTGGCAGCATAAACTTGAAGGAATGAAAAGAGTTATTCCTATGGAAGATGTCAGAAGAACTCCTAAACTACAGGCTGATAATATATGTGATGTGGCAAAGAACAAGTCTCATAAATTCTGTTCTCAAAAATTCTGGTCAACACAGATGCTACCTGAAGACAATGTTACACAAGATGTTGTGACATTGTGGTGTGATAATCTGAAAACATTCAACATTTCCTTAAACCCTATTGACTTTGGAGAGAAGAAATCATTTAAACTGAAACATAGTTTCTCTGAGCTTCAGCTAACTGATTCTTCTACCAAGGTGCTTGTTGGAAATCAACTTGAAAATTTGAGGGGCAGATTGAGCATTCACCAACATGAGAAATTATAGC